ATTCTACGAATAATATGAATGATTCGAAAAATTGGAGAAAGGAGAGATACGAATAGAAGGATGTGAATTTTCGGGGAAAGGGAGAGTGGAGGGATCTAATTTAATCTAATAAATTCCGAAAGCTCGTTATAAAAGGATCGACATCCTGGAGATGACAAATCGAGAAAATTTTGTTGAATGAGATAGGACTTAGATATATATAGATAGGATAGGAATTATTATACATATAAATAGATAGGAATTAGATATATATATATATATATATCTAACGAATAAATGTTAGAAATTTTTAATCGATGTCCAATCTCTGTTTCGACAAAACGTAATCCGAAACGTATGTTAAAAAAAGGATGCTGAAAAGGATAATTGGGTCGCTTTAAGAGGTTAAGGAGGTAACTAGGATAAAAAAAGAGTCGATCGAGGCTGTTTCCTTCTCCTTCCCTCCGAACGCGAAATATTCGTCTGGAAAGTCTGGCGCCACGGGGAGGGAGGAGGAGGAGGAGGAGGAGGAGGAGGGGTGAGGAGGGGTTAAAGTGCACCTGTTTATGATGCCAGCCATCAGCCGCCGGCAGACTGCGATCGACCTCGATGGAACTTGTACTTGAACTTTTCTTACCGTTAAATTACTCCTCCTTCTCCTTCTCCTCCTTCCCCCTCCCCCACTTCCATTCGTCGCGCTTGATCTTATTATACAAGAAAACTCGAACTCCCGCGAAAGTGAATAATTCTTTGAACAAGTACGTCGGATCATATGGTCGTTCAAATTTCCACTAGAAAATCACTAGATAGGTAAACGATTCGAACGATTGATTTTAACGATTAATTTTTTCCCCATATAATCGCGTATAAATGAAATAAGGGAATTACAGTAATTAGAAAGCGAATAATTCTTTAATATCGTCATTCAAATTTCCACTAGAAAGTCACTGGATAGATAAACTTCGAACGATTGATTTTAAATATTCTTTTACGTATTCCATCTATTCGTATTTTCTCTCCAAATAATCGTGTATAAATGAATTAAAGGAGGAAAGAAATTACAGTAATTAGAAAGCGAAGAATAATTTTTTAATATCGTCATTCAAATTTCCACTAGAAAATCACCAGATAGATAACCTTCAAACGATTCAACGATTTTACATATCCCATTTTCTTTCACATAATAAATAAAACAAGGAAGGAAAGAAATTGTACAGTAAAATTAGAAATAACGATGAAACGATTGAAACCCTCTTTCTTGCGTTTGATCTTATTAAGAAAACTTTCGCGAAAGTGAATAATTCTTTAAACATACGTACATCGGATATCGTCGTTTAAATTTCCACTAGAAAATCACCAGATAGATAAACTTCGAACGATTGATTTAAAATATCCTTTTACATATTCCATCATCTATTTCCCCCCCACACAACCCTGTATAAATGAAATAAGATAGGAAAGGAATTATAGCACAATAATTAGAAAGCGAATAATTCTTTAATATCATCGTTCATCAAATTTCCACTAGAAAATCACCAGATAGAAAAAACTTGGAACGATTGATTTAAAATATCCTTTTACATATTCCATCATCTATTTCCCCCCCACACAACCGTGTATAAATGAAATAAGATAGGAAAGGAATTACAGCACAATAATTAGAAAGCGAATAATTCTTTAACATCATCGTTCATCAAATTTCCACTAGAAAATCACCAGATAGATAAACATTCGACAACGCTTTCACGTATTCGCATTCTTTCCCACGCGTAATCGCGTACAAATAAAATAAGAGAGGGGGGGGAGAAGGAGAAAGGAATTGTACGGTGTAATTAGAAATAATAGCTGTACGGAACGATTAAAACGCGCTCGAGGCGGCGCTCAAAGTCCCAGTTAGGAAACAAGGCGGAAAGCCAAGAGGCGAGACAATTTAGAAGGGAAGGTGGAAACAATCGCTGAAACGGGCGACGACGAATCCTCCCATCTGTGCTGAGGTAAGGAGGAGGAGGAGGAGGGGGGGAAGGAAAGTGGCGAAGTGCTCTCGAATTTTTAAAGGCTTTAGGGAACCACGGCCCGGCGGCTTGTTAGAGTTCCGTGAAATTAAGTCCGCTCAACGAGTACGAGTTGGAGGGAATTTAACGACCTCTCTCTCTCTCTCTCTCTCTCTCTCTCTCCCCGCTCGAGGCTCGACCCAGGCAGAGAATTTTCCCGCGCTTTTCTCCGCTATTCCTGGCAAAAGGAGAAGTAGATCACCGTTCTGAACAGCGATTTGATTAAATTTCGAAAGAGAAAAAAGAAGTAGATTAAGAAGAAGAAGAAGAAGAAGAAGAAGAATCGTTGACATGTTGTCTATAAGGGGAGAGTTTGAGAGGAGGAGGAGAAGTGGAACTTTCGAGGGACGGAGAGAGGGTGTTCGAGAATCGTGGAAGGATGGAAATGAGAATTTGGGGGGGAGGGGAATTGTTCTAGGATGGAAATACAAACGAAAGTCGAAACTGTCGAAACTTTGTTATGCACGAGGTGGAAGACTGGGTTGAAGAAGAATGGAAATTTGAGGATGGTTTGAGAATAGAAAAAATAAAGAAAAGAAAAATCGCAGGAAGAATTAAAAATGAATCTGAAACACACTATAAATAAATGGAGATTAGAATTTATTGGAATATTATAGAAATAAATAAATCTCTCCATAAATTCTATTATCATGGAGGAGGAGAAAGAAGAAGAAGAAGAATTCTTCCCTGGAAAAAGAGTGGATAAAGTTTTTAGATAAAAATCTGTTTGGAATTTCTTCCCCTTCCCCGGGGAAGGGGAGGAGGCTCGACTTCTTGGTCGATTTATTAATACTTTTATCGTCTTCCTCCTCCTCCTCCTCCTCCTCCTCCTGTCGCGATCAGAATTCAGAGAGATTAAGGGGAGGGAGAGGCTTCTTGGGAAACTTGCTTCTGCTACGAAAGTTCTTCGTCTCTTCCCCTTCCTCACTTTTGCTTGACATTCGATGTACGTAGAAAAAGTTCTCGTTGGAAAAGTTCGAATGTATCGTGTTTCTTTCTTTCTTTCTTTCTTTCCTTCGATCGCCTGCCTGTGGGGATAGCACGTAACGTTTTCAATTAATTTGTCGAGCTTCCAGTTTTTTTCAGTTTTACTTCTGCTGGACGTAAATTTCGCCCTTCCATTCTTATTTATTCGAAACTTGGTATAGGGGTGGTGTTTGGATGTAGGAAATTATTGAATACAAAAAATTTTGAAATTTTGAAACGAAACTTAATATTTTTCTTTGTCTTATGGAAACCTCTTGTACTTTTTTTTTTAAACTTTTCCAGTTTCGTTTTTCGGATAATATAAAATAATTTTATTATTTTATAGAATTTTACAATAGAAGCTATTTTTAACATTGGTAAATTTCGTGGAAAGAGATTCGTAATTTTCTTAAATTTTGCGAATAGCAAAAGGAATTATTGGAACAAAACGAAAAAAAAATTATTGAAAAGCTGGAAAAGAAATTTTAAAAAACAAAGACAAAACATTTTTGTTTATACCTTTTTGAAACTTTTTCAATTCCATTTTTCAAAAATATCATATCACAGTTTAATTATTTATAGAATTTTACAAATCTTCTATATTAAAGTTCCATCATCCACTTTCACTTATATTCCCAACCAACTTGCCAATTTTTCAATAATTTCTAAATCTCTAATAGAAAGAAATCAAATTGATCTTCAAATTTTTGAATAACAAAAAGAATTAACATTTGAAAAGCTAAAAACAAAAATTTTGAAATTTGAAACGAAACTTGTTTCCCACAAAGACCTAAGCTTTTCTTCTTTTCATTTTTCAAAAATATCACAAATTGGATTTTACATATAAATACAAATCTTCCATAAAACGTCCTAAATATTAAATAATCAATAATTAAATAATCAATAATTCAATTTCTTAAATCTCTTTGTAAAAAAAAAAACAGATAAATCGACAGAATATATATTCTTCTTAAATTTTACTTATACTCAGATTATTATTTAAAAATTTTATTCAATTCAATTTAATTATCATTAACTATATTAATTATTAATTCAATTATTCATTATTTAAAAAAGTATTAAAAACTTAATAGCTTCATTCAATGAAATTCGCTTCGATCCTCCTCCTCCTCCTCCTCCTCCTCCCCCCTTTCCCCTCCCCCCCTCCAAATCGCCTCACCTCTCCAACCATCTTGTCTAACTACTAACTTCCTACTCTCCATCAGGCTGGGCTGATCCCCGAACAAGGGGGGACATACCGACGTGCTCTCCTCCTCGCCGCTCTCCCTGCGACCGCCCAGGAGCGGGAAAAGAAGAGGGGAAGAGGGAAGATGACGCTCGACGCGGGAAGAGGAACCACGGCGCTCGGTGAAACGAACGACGGGACCACCCTCGGGGGAAACGAGTTGGCTCACACCGTCAGATAACTTTCGATCTTCCCCTTCTCGCTCCCTCTCTCCCCTTCCCCTACCCTTTCTCCAAAAAAAGAAACAAAGAAAGATCGAGAGAGAGAGAGAGAGAGAGAGAGAGGACAACCAGAGCCTTCGAGTTTCCAGAAAATTTCCAAATAATTCCCCTCCCCCTCCTCCTCGAAGAAGCAGATCCTCTCCTCCATAGAGAGAGAGAGAAAGAAAGAGAAAGAACAGAAAAATTTCCAAATAATTCCTCTCCTCGAAGAAGAAGATCCAGATCCTCTCCTCCAAGTCCACAGAGAGAGAGAGGACAGCCAGAGCCTTTGAGTTTCCAGAAAATTTCCAAATAATTCCCCTCCTCCTCCTCCTCCTCGAAGAAGCAGATCCTCTCCTCCAAGTCCATAGAAAGAGAGAGAGAGAGAGAGAAAGAGAAAGAACAGAAAAATTTCCAAATAATTCCTCTCCTGTTCCTCCTCGAAGAAGAGATCCATATCCTCTCCTCCGAATCCATAGAGAGAGAGAGAGAGAGAGAGAGAGAGAGAGAGGAAGGAATCGAATGAGATGGAGGACAGACGGATGGATGGGTAAATAGACGGAGAGGAGAAGCGGAGAGGAAAGATGAGCCAGCGGCCCCTCGCCCGGATGTTGGTGCTGCTTGTGTCCCTTCACCGGCTCTCCATATACGGGGGTAGCCATTGGAGGCCGGGTAGGAGCGAGTCGGTGGTGATTCCGGGGGACATAGTGTTGGGGGGTTTGTTCCCGGTCCACGAGAAGGGGGGCGCCTCGTGCGGGCCGAACGTGTACAATCGGGGTGTGCAGCGGCTCGAGGCGATGCTGTTCGCCGTCGACCAGATAAACAGGGACGAGGGTATACTGCCCGGGATCACGATAGGGGTGCACATTTTGGACACGTGCGGGCGGGACACGTACGCCCTTAACCAGAGCCTGCACTTCGTGAGGGCGTCGTTGTCGAACCTGGACATGAGCGTGCTCGAGTGCGCGGACAGGTCGGCGCCGAGGGTGAAGAAGACGGCGAGCGCCGGCCCGATATTCGGCGTGATAGGGGGCTCTTACAGTTCCGTGTCGTTGCAGGTTGCAAATCTGCTCAGGCTGTTCCACATACCCCAGATCTCGCCCGCCTCGACGGCCAAGGCGCTCAGCGACAAGACCAGGTGATTCTCTCTCTCTCCGTTTTCAACCGTTTCCGCTCTCGAAACGGACTCTCGGCCAGGGAAATTGAAATGGATTCGTAAGATTCCTCGAGCGCAATGTTGTAAAGGGTGGAATGGTGTGCTGTACCGAATGGTTAGATTTAATTTTTGACGAGTCTTTCTCGAGTTTTGCGAGCGTGGAAATAATGGTAAAATTAGAGGTAGTTTGATTTTTCGTTATCGAATAATTTCCATTCCAGGTGAGAAATTGAGGATAGAGAGAAGGAAAATAGAGAAATTATTTTATTGTTAAAATATAAAACACGAAACAATAAATATAGAGTTTAACATTCGACGAATTTTCTTTCTTTACGTGTAAAGGTACATAAAATAGTGTTTTTTAAATTAATTATTTTAGTTTCGATAAAATATTTTCATTAGGATTTTTAAATTATATTCAATACGTACATTTTATCTATTATTGCAATATTTTTAACCAAATAACCAATTCTTACGAAAGACAGAGCTGGGCAAAAGTTATCGAAGGACCATTCAGAATCTTTTAATAAAAAACTCTGCTAATCGATTAACCAGTTTATCCAAAAATTAGCCTTCATTTTCAATCCAAAATTCTTAGAGAGATGCAAGGCAAAAGTTATATTCAAAGCATATTCGAATAACTACAATTAATAATAAGACTTAAAAATTTTCTCTTCGTCTCAAAATAATCTCCTTTTCCAAAATTCAACGAGAAGAACAAATCAACAAACCCCATAGAAATACAAACCCCCGACGAAATCATTAAAATTCGTTGGACGATCATCCAGGTTCGACTATTTCGCGAGGACGGTCCCACCCGACACGTTCCAATCGATCGCGTTGGTGGACGTGGTGAAGAGCGCCAACTGGTCCTACGTCTCGACCGTGTACTCGGAGGGCAGTTACGGCGAATACGGGATCGAGGTGTTCACGAGGGAGGCGACCGAGCGGAACGTGTGCATAGCCGCGGCAGTCAAGGTGCCGAGCGCGGCGGACGATCGCATGTTCGACGACATAATCCAAAGATTGAGCAAGAAGGCGAACGCACGGGCGGTGGTGCTGTTCACGCGCGCCGAGGACGCGAGGGGGATCCTCGAGGCTGCGAGGAGGTCGAACCTGAGCCAGCCCTTCCAATGGTTGGCCAGCGACGGCTGGGGCAGGCAGATCAAGCTCGTCGAGGGCCTCGAGGAGGAGGCCGAGGGCGCCATCACGGTCGAGCTCCAATCCGAGAATATTCCCGGGTTCGATGAGTACATGGCCTCCCTGACCCCCGACACCAATCGTCGAAACCCGTGGTTCAGCGAGTATTGGGAGGAGGTGTTCGACTGCCTCCTCAAAAAGGAACGGAACGGACCAACTCAAACGACCCTCAACGCCACGACGCTCTTCTGCCCCCCCAACCTCAGACTAACTTCCGAAAGGGGTTACGAGCAAGAGTCCAAGGTCCAGTTCGTGGTGGACGCGGTGTACGCGTTCGCGTTGGCCCTCCACAACCTCCAGAGGGACGTGTGCTCGAAACTCGAGGGCCTCTGCCCCTCCATGGCCAACTATGACCGTGGCGTCTTCTACAGGAATTATCTCCTCAACGTCTCCTTCACAGGTAAGAATTTTGTGTGTGTGCGTGTGTGTGTAATATAATGTAGCGTAGTGTAGCATAGCATAGTGTAGTGTAATGTAATGTAGTGTAGTATAGTGTAGTATAATGTAGTGTAGCGTAGTGTAGTGTAATGTAGTGTAATGTAGTGTAGTGTAGTATAGTGTAGTATAATGTAATGTAGTGTAGTGCAGTGTAGTGTAATGTAATGTAGTGTACTGCAGTGTAGTATAGTGTAGTGTAGTATAGTGTAGTATAGTGTAGTGTAGTGTAGTGTAGTGTAGCGTAGTGTAGCGTAGTGTAGCGTAGTGTAGTGTAGTGTGGTGTGGTGTAATGTAGTGTAGTGTAGTATAGTGTAGTATAGTGTAGTGTAGTGTAGTATAGCATAATGTAGTATAGCATAGCATAATGTAATATAGCATAGCATAGTGTAGTGTAGTATATCGTAGTGTAGTGTAGTGTAGTGTAATATAGTGTAATGTAGTGTAGTATGTGTAATATAGTGTAGTGTATCATAATGAAATTTAGCATAACATAGTGTAGTATAGTGTATTGTAGTATAGTGTAGTGTAGTGTATCGTGGTGTAATGTAGTATAATATAGTATAGTATAGTGTAATACAATGTAATGCAGCAAAGTGTAGTGTATCGTGATGTAATGTAGTGTATCGTAGTGTAGTGTAGTATAACATAATGTAATGCAGCGAAGTGTAGTGTATTATAATGTAGAATAGCATAGTGTAGTATACTATAGTAAAGTACTATAGTGTAGTATATAGTAGAGAATAGCATAGTGTAGTGTAGCAAAGTGTAATGTACTATAATGTAGCAAAATGTAGTGTACCATAGTGTAGCATAGCGTAATATAGCGTAGCATAGTGTAGTGGGTACGTGCATAGGGGAACAATGGAGGGCGGGAAAAATTCGAATATTCGAATATTTGTCCTTTGATCCTCCCCCCTCTCTCCCTTCCCTTCTCGAGTAATAAACGCGGTCGCGATTCGCGGCACGCACGCGCACGCATGCACACACGTACACGCTTTTGTGAGAGGCGAGGGCGAAGGAATAATATCGAACGACAAAAAGAAGGAAAAAAAAAAAAAAAAAGGTGCAACGAAGGTGCAAGGAAGGCATTGACATTGGAGAGGGGGGAGGGGGAGGCGTGAGAGAATCCGATATGAAATTTCACGGGCCACCTGCATAGCTTAACCGCTCGTGGCTGCTCTTTGAGAACGAGGGATAATTCGTGGAGGGAGGGAGTCGATGCTGTTTTCATCTCTCGGTATTTCGCGCTTGATTGAGTTTTACTTTGGGCGGAGGGAAAGGGAGGGGGAGGAGGGGGTGATATTAGAATTTGCGATTCTAGGGGTTTCGTGCCCCTTCTTTCGATGCATACGCGAGTGAAATATCAACGCGCCGAGTTTTCGAGTTCTCGAGTTCTCTGGGATGATGTAAATGTGAAATAATAAATAATTGTTGTCGATTTCGATATTCTAGAAATGAAAAATGAAAAACGTTGATTCCCGTCTTTTGCACGCGGTATCTTATTAAAAAAAAAAGTATTAAATAAAACATATGGATGGATATAAACAAAATATTGCGTAAATATTGTTCTCACGTGTTATATAGATTTTTTAAAATTTTTTGAAAATACTTTTATTATAATAACGAGTTAAAAATCGGAGGATTGTCTGATCTGTTGAATATTTGTGAAAACCTGTACCAAGTGATGGGGAAAGTAATTATTTTCATTTTTTGAACAACTCTCCATCGGGAAAATTGTTTTCAAGCATATCAAGCTAAAACAAAAAGTTACTAGATGATGTATCCTCAAATATCCCCATTGATTTTTATCAAAATCATTAAAAAAAAATTTAAAAAAAAGTATATAAGAATTCAGACTACACACAAACTTATTTTCGTTAATCTTCTTAAATTTCACTTTAATACCTCCCCCCCCCCAAAAAAATCTTTATTTTAATTCTTCAAAGAATAAATAAATTATCAGCTTTGTTTTCGTTGAAACAAAAATTCAAAACACTTTCAATTCGTACACATTAATCACCGATACCGAATACCTGCATCGTGACAAATTGTATCGTTTCCAAGTTTCCCTCCCCCCTCTCCTCCCCCCTCCCAATCACGTGAACAGGCCGTTTCGCGGAGGCCGAGCCATTCCAAGCATTTCCCCCGAGGTCGATGCATTCCCGAATCGAGCAAATCTCCATGCTGGAACGCTGGAACGAATTTTCAGCGTGGCCGAGAGAGAGGAGGGAGAGGGGAAGGGAAGGGTGCAATTTTTGGCGCTGGATCGCAATTCACGAGGCCGCGAGATTTTTTCTTTCTTTCTTCCTTTCTTTCTTTCTTTCTTTCTTTCTTTTGGAAAGAGAAAGATAAAAGATAAAAACTGGGAAGGAGGGAAAGGGTTGAAGAGAGGAGAGGAGAAGGGAGGTCCGAGAGAGGTTGACAGTTGGATGATAGACAGGTGGAGAGAAAGGGGGAGAGGGAAAAAGGTGGGGGGTGGTGGTAGTATCACAGAGGGATCGTGCTGTATCGATCCTAAATGTGCAGTCCAAGGCCATTGTTTTTTTTTTTTTCTTTCTTTTTTTTCCTTTTTTCCCCTCCCGTTTATCAGACGCGAATGCGTGACGAATACGTTAGATGGATCAGTGGGGCAAGAGCGAAATAATGCATTCATCTCCCTCTCCCCCTTTCCCCTTTTTCACTTTCTCTCGTCCTTCGTGAAAAACGATGCACATTCAGGATACATCCAGAATATATATATATATATAATTTTTTCTTCTCTTCAATGCACGACGAAAAACGTGTTTTCTTGTTTTCTTCCCTTCATCATTTATAAGAAACGATGGAGCGACAAAAGTTTGCAACAATCGCAATTTCTTCCCTATTTCTCCATTCTTCGCGAGATCGATGAAGCTTCGTTTCTTCCAAGAGTGGATTTTCCAAAAAAGGATGCGCGAAAATTATTCTCCCCCTTTTTTTAATCGATGCTTAATAACAACAACGCTCCTTCCCTTCCATCTCTCTACCTACGCGCCACCGTGGATAAAACGCATGGATACATACGCGCCCTCGATATCTCGAATCGAATCGGTGGCGGCCGCGTTATCGATTCGACCCGTGTGTGTGACTCGTTGCGATTTCTACGAAATTCGAATCGCGCGAGAAATGAAGGTATCGAAAGATTTCTTCCTTACCGATCCAACCACAGATCGCGAAATAAGAAACGAAATTTTTTATTTATCTTCTTCCTCTCGAAAAAGAGGAAGCTCGTTCGTTTAAAGAGGGTCAAACGGGATCACGCGATCAAAGTCTCTTATTTTTTCCTAATTGGCGATAATTATTAAGCTTGATATTATTTTACACGTGCATAATTATTGTATATCGTGATAATATCTTATTTTTTCATCATGGATCGAACGAGATGCGATCAGCCGATTTATTTTGCTTGAAAAAAAGAAAATGTAAATTAATCGTTAACGAGAATTTATTATTCGATAATAATTCCCTAATTTCTTGAACAAAATTACACGCGAGAGATTCTCAATTTTCGTTTTTCTCGTCGATGAAACGAGAAACTTGCAAACTTTTTACTCTAATTTTCTAATTCGCACAAACAAAAATTTTATCCTCAACAATAAAACGGAGATCATTTTCGTGTTTTTTTTTATACGATCAAATAAACACCCATAAAAACTCGTCGTAAAAATCGTATCTGCAAAGTTTTGTTCGCGTATACACGAAAAAACTAACGAAAATATCCCCGACAATCTTCCTTCGTCGTATCATGAAATTAAAGAAGAATTAAAAGATTCTGCATCGAATATACATAACTGTGTAAAAAACGGGACGACGAATAAACGAGGCGAAAAAATATCCGTCACGCTCTCACCTAATCTGATACAATCCGCCCCGCTAATGAAGGAATGCATTAGGCGGCTGATTGCCTTCGTTTCGCACGTGATAAAAATTGCACACAACAATGGTGTAAATTTCTTTAATTCGCTTGGAAAATTTTCGATACCTTTCGAGGATGGAAAAATTTTTAATCTCGACGTTCTTTTAATTTATTTATTTTTTTTTTTTTTCTATTCGCAGAATATTAGATTCGAAAATTTGATCTCGATTCCGATCTCAAATCGATCGTTAAACGAGCTGTTGATCAAGATAAAATTTTTCTCCTTCCTTTCTCGCGTAACGTAATAAAAAAAAAAAAAAAAATCGAGGACGGACGAATCGTGTTGAAAACTCGAGAGAATATAATTTCAATCGGTTATCGAGTTGTCCAATATAGGGCGCGTAGCAGCCGATAATTAAAAAAAAAAACTACGTTAAATCTCTAACGAAACGATTTTTCCATGCAACGAAATGGAAGATGACGAGATACTTTCCTGTATATATATATAGATATATATATATATATATATATATATCGATCTTGGCCTTGGACGATGCTCTCTGGAGAGATCCTTCAATTGTAGAACAACTTAGCAACCAACGATAAACAATTCTGAAGAGGGAATTCACAGCCTGAACCTCTTTCTATACAGGAGCATCGATCATCTTCCCTTTAGACGATCGAGACAAATCCCGCTATCCTATGAAACAATTATATTCAGGGAGTAGACAAGCTTGACAATAATAGCTAGGATCCTGGTGTATTGCAACCAGTGATGAGGAAAATTTAACCAAATTCAAGTTATATGTAAACTTAAACTCCCTAAATAAGCACGCTTCGATAATTTAAAACCGTAATAATAATAATTGGAAATAATTGCAATGACAAAACGGTCGAGGTTAGGTTAGGTTATACGAAAATATATATATAAAATAGCTAATGTTCGAGCAAATGTTAAACAAGTAATTTCTTAAAGTGACTTTATTTGTTCAAATTGGATTTGTAATCGCTTCTCTTCTTTTTTTTCGAAATACGAATGTTCGAAATTGTTTCAGACACGGCGGGAAGCGAAGTGAAGTTCGACGAGCACGGAGACGGGTTGGCGCGATACGAGATTCTCAACTTTCGGAAATCGGAACACAACGGCACCAACGGTTACCAGTATCAGGTAAGTGAGAACACACGCACTTTTTCATTATTCGAAATTTTTTTTTTTTACGTTTTTTCTCCCCTCAGCCGAGCAAAGATCCGAGGAAAAGTTTCTGGTTCACGCTCGTTCGAATATCTTTCTATTATTATTGGGTTTGAACGAGGAAGGAGGAGAATGAGAATTATAGTTGGAGGAAGTTTGGAGCCTGTGTGAAGAACTGCTATAAATTGTGATAATCCTTTTGGCTCTCCGTTGAGGAATTACAGTTAACACGATTGAATTTCATCTTCTATGCGATTCGTTTTTAAATTGCTTTATCGTATTCCTTCGGGATTATTAAACCGCTTTACGATTAATTTCCTCTTCCACTTAGAGGTTAGATTCACCTTTTTTTCTTCTTCTTCTTCAAAAAAAGAATTTCTTCAATCGCACTTTCGAGAAAGTTTCCTTTCATCTCCTCGAGGTTGAGATGAAATTCTTTGTTTTCGAATCGTTTAAAATTTCTCTCCATTCATTCTTTGGAGGAAAATTTTTAATTCCATCCAAAAATTTTCTTCTTTCGAAACGGAATACTTTAAACAATTGTAAATTCGAAATGAAATTTTCCCCGATTCTTTTGCATCCAAAATTAACGACTTGTTTTTTCGATAAAAATCGTAAATCGCCAGGCTCGTGTTTCGAACGATAAAGCAGCGAATATAAATTGCAACGCGACCTTTCCACCAACATGGACGCTTACTTATCTAGGATGAAATAACTCTCTTTTTCTCTCTCTCTCTCTCTCACTTTGAATCATCAAGGAGCGCGAGTTTCATGATGGAGAAAATTTAATAGTTCAAAACGTAATGCAATAATAATCGCAAATAACTGTCAAACAATAATGGCCAAAGTTAAACGAATTAATTATAACAGCTACAAATAATGTTATAAAGATAACTTTATTTTTAACTAGTTACTTTTCAATGCCCAACTTTGACATTAGTACAGAATTTAGTCGCATAGGGGGAAAAAAAAGGGGGGGAACAATAACGAAGAAAAAAAACGATATATTGTATATATATATATATATATATATATATTTTAGGTTGAAATAAAAAAAAATTTAAAAGTTATAAAGGTAACTTTATTTTTAACTAGTTACTTTTTAACTGGTGCTCAACCTTGGCACTAATACGGATTACTCGTATAGGGGAAAAAAGAAAAAGAGATGTATATATATAACGTTTGTGCATATATCTCTTATTATCAAAGTGAAATATATCTAAAGGACGAGGAATGCAACGATAAGTTCTATCGGAGGAAATATTTTTAATAACGAAGAAAAGTATATCGTATATATATTCTTTTTTAGGTTAAAACGAAAAAAAATTTAAAAGTTATAAAGGTAACTTTATTTTCAACTAGTTACTTTTTAACTGGTGCCTAACTTTGGATTACTCGTATAGGGAAAAAAAGAAAAAGAGATATATACAATGTTTGTGCATATATCTCTGATTATCTGTGATATATCTAAACGACGAAGGATGCAACGGAGGAAATATTTTTTGAAAAAAAAATAATAACTAAAAAAAGAAACAATATATCGTATATATATTTTTTTTTAGGTTGGAACGAAAAAAATTTCTTCCCTAGGGAAATGAATTCTTTTCCGAATTTTATACTGTTTCGGCAGAGGAGAGTTACAACAGAATTGTTCAGAATTGAAATCGCGGTATCTCGTTTCGAGCGTCCACTCGACTACCTCATCCAATAGACTTCAACCCGAAATTTCAACGTCGATCAACGCCCGTCCTCGAAACAAGCTACGCCATCCTCCGCCTCCCGAAAATTCTACAATTTCCACCATGATCGATGCGAAACGTGATCCGTGACACGGATTTTCCGGATTCACTGTGATTCTCAAATTTTACCGAGTTCGAGAATAAAATTATTGAAAATTAGGACAAGATAAAATATTTAAGAGAGAGAGAGAGAGAGAGAGAGAGAGAGAGAGAGAGAGAGATTCTTTCAAATTGAATGAAACGTCAAGGGATCCATTGTTTAAAAATTAAGATATACGAGAGATGGACAAAGATTCGTGGATCAAATAACGATTTAAAAATTTGTTGCTTCTTGATTCTTGAATTAATAATAATAAGAAAATTAACAAAAGATCATTCGTGAGAAAGAAGTCCAAAAAATCTTCATCCTATATAATTAAAAATCGATTCTTCGATTCATGAAATTCACGATTTAAAAATCGCCAACCCTTAAATTAAAAATCCTATTAAAGATCACTTGAGTCGATTTCCAAAATAAAAAAGAAAAATTATTCGTTCAAATAGAGATTCACAAATTTCCCTTGAATTAAAACTGCTACGAAATTAAAGTTTAAATAAAAAAAAAAAGATCGAACTACGAAATCTTCGATCAAAAATCTTCGATTAAAAAAAAAAAAGAAAAGAAAAATCGTCATATACACGAAAATCATATACACATAATCACGTGGTTTTCAGGTGGTGGGGAAATGGTTCAACTCGCTGGACATCCGCACCGAGGAGCTGGTGTGGGCACGGGGTACCAAAGACATACCGATCTCTGCGTGCTCCCTACCCTGCGAGCCAGGTATGATAAAGAAGCAACAGGGTGACACTTGTTGCTGGGTGTGCGACCAGTGCGAGGAGTACGAGTACGTGCACGACGAGTACACCTGCATGGACTGCGGGCCTGGCAAGTGGCCGCACGAAGACAAGAGAGGTTGCTATCAGTTGGCGATCAATCACATCAGGTGGAACAGCGCGTTCGCGATCGCCCCTGCGGTGATCTCGTGTCTGGGTATCGTGGCAACTATGGCGGTCGCGTGCCTCCTGTTCCACCACAGGGACACACCTGTGGTGAGGGCGTCCGGCCGCGAGCTGACCATCATCCTGCTGGCGGGAGTGCTCGTCTGCTATTTGAACACGTTCCTCCTCTTGGCCACGCCCACCACCGTCACCTGCATACTGCAGAGGTTCGGTGTTGGCGTGAGCTTCAGCGCGGTGTACGGGGCGCTGCTCACCAAGACGAACAGAATCGCGAGAATCTTCGATTCGGCGTCGAGGACCGCGGTCAGGCCCAGGTACATCAGTCCCGCGTCCCAGGTGTGCATCGCGGCAGCCCTCATCGCGTTACAGGTGAGTACGGATCGAATTGGACTGTTTCGATTATCCACGGTGTAATGAAATGTATGGGGATTTGGAAAAATAGGAAAATTTGTGATCGAGCGGAATTTGGAATGGTTGGGTTAGAAAATTTATTTTTCCATGGTTCAGTTATTAACTTTTCTTTTTTCGATCCATCCATTTTTCTCCAAAAAAGGAAAGAAAAGAAAATGTAATTTCAGATCGTGCTGACGTTGGTGTGGATGATCATCGAGCCACCGGGCACGAGATTCTTCTACCCGGATCGTAAGCAGGTGATCCTCAAGTGCAACATCCAGGACATGAGCTTCCTTTTCTCCCAGTTGTACAACGCGTTGCTGATTCTGATCTCGACCGTGTACGCGGTGAAGACGCGGAAAATACCGGAGAACTTCAACGAGAGCAAGTTCATCGGCTTCACCATGTACACAACCTGCATCATATGGCTGGCCTTCGTTCCGATCTACTTTGGTACCGGGAACGCGCACGAGACACAGATCACCACTCTCTGCGTTGCCATCAGTCTGAGCGCGACCGTCACACTCGTTTGCCTTTACTCGCCCAAGATATACATCATCCTCTTCCAACCGGACAAAAATATCCGGAGGAAGGTCACCATGGGAGATAAGTCGAAAAAACAGGGAAGCAGCGCCGGCACCTCTTCCATCACCAAATGTGAGTTTAATTAAAAAATGAATAACCATATGAATAAATATATCTCTTCCATCATCAAAAGTATAATTAAATATTGTGGTTGAAAAATGAGCAACTATATATATATAAATGAATACATCTCTTTCTTTAATAAATGTAATAATTAAATATTGTGGTTGAAAAACGAGGAACCAAGATGTATTCGTTTAAAAGAATAATTCGAAAGATTTGATTTATATATACGTATATATATTCATTTGACTGGTGGAAAACGATTAAATCTCTTTTCATGGTAAATTATCGATCGATGAAAATGGGGGGGGGGGGGGAAAGGATGATTTATCTACTGCGAAATACACGTATATTCCAATATAAAATATCGTCTGTAGAGTCTGCGGAGATCAGTGGCCAAGATAAGCAAACGGTGGGCGTATTGATTGCGCGTTATACGTGTTACATGCATTACTCGCACGCGTAAATTCAGCTTCCAAAACGAAAATTTTAAAATCTCCCTTTTTTAAAAACAATTATTCAAAACGAAACCTCGGTCGAAACGAGTCGTCAAATTGCCAAGATTAAAATTCTAAATTTAAAAAAAGAAAAAAACGATTCCATAAAACGAAACGCGAAATACAATATAACCGGTGTTCCATTTTTAGAAAATGGAACACGATGAGTGAAGGTGGGGGCTAATAATAATCCGAATCCGAATCCGACGCGACTCGCAAAATTACGAAGAGAATAACCGAAAACACCGATGGTGGCGATCGCCTCGGCACGCTGCCAACACCTTGTAACACCGCCTCTCCTCACTCAACGACCGTTGTCTTCTCGTACTTTTTTCGTGAGGATCGAGTTCGCAACTCGTGTAACCCGATCCTTAAGGTCAGCCATATAAATAGAAGAGCCGATTGTTGTTCACCGATACTCGGGCATGGGACACGAAAGTTTCGAAATTTGAAGTTTCGTATTTAAGAATTCGACGATTCTTGGAGAAAAAATGGAAATTTCAGGAAATCCAGAGATGGACAGGGAAATTTTTCTCGATGATTCGTTCGCGATTACATCGCGAGTACAATATACAAATTTTTGATCGATTTCAACAATTCTTCACAATTTTTTATTCGGATGAGAAAGGTGATCTCCCCTGCCCCTCTCCTCTTTTTTGAACAATCGTTAATTTCCTCTCCTCTTCGCGAATTTTACTTCGCGCGATTTCTCCCGTTTCTCTCGAGTCTAAAATAATGCTCAATACGATACCGATTCTCCGTCCAATTTCTGTATGGAAATCGATTCCTCTGTTATCATTGTCCGTTACACGTAATTACACGGGCTAGTTACACGGGTGTGCAAGGATTACTGTTCATACTGCGCTAAATTATTAAGTTAATTCTTGGATCTGCCATCTGTCACGTACGTCTCTCTCTCTCTCTCTCTCTCTCTCTCTCTCTCTCTCTCTCTCTCTCTCTNAATTTCTGTATGGAAATCGATTCCTCTGTTATCATTGTCCGTTACACGTAATTACAAGGGTGTGCAAGGATTACTGTTCATACTGCGCTAAATTATTAAGTTAATTCTTGGATTTGCCATCTGTCACGTACGTCTCTCTCTCTCTGTCTCTCTCTTTCTCGAAATATCCTCATCCTCGTAAAAAAGAGAGAGCGGATGATTTGGTAATTTTTTGAATCGTCTTCGAAAAGTTGTCTCTTGATTTGTCTCTTGATTTCCAAGGAAAAAGAATAATCAAGAAATAATAATAATAAAAATATTCTGCACACTTCTGTTACTTAGAATTTCTCTCTTGCTGTAGCTCGAGTTTAGTTTAAACATCTATTTCGAAACGCTATTTTACTTCATTTTTTTTCGAGGATTCGCTTTGTTTTAAATAATATTCCTCAATACCTCGCTGTTCCTCGTTACGTTAGAGGGAAGTCATTTCGCCGCAGTTACTCGCGCCATTACAGCGAGAGTGCAATTTACGTGTGGAATTTCGCGGGAATCGTTAGTCGTCGCTGGTTGCCAACTCTCTTCCCCCCTCCCCCCCTTTCCTCCGTTTTCCTCCTGATATTACGAGATATTAAATTTTCAAAGGAGGGGGGCGAGTGTTTTCGAAAATTTTGAAACGATCGATTCTCTAAATGAGAGAGAGAGAGAGAGAGAGAGAGAGAGAGAGAGATATGACGTCTAAAATCAAGGCTTCTCTTCGCCAGGATCGATCAGCCGGAATGTATTATTAACTGCGTACTAATTATCCGCTCGTTACTGGATAGGAGGAGTCGAAACACGCGGTTAATATCGCGTACAAGATAGGGAAATATCTCCTCGATTGAACCTCTTAACGCTAATTACGATCGACATTTTTCTCTCTTGAGGGAAGCTTCGACTCTACTGGTATCAAAACATCGACATCGAATAACGATGTTTCTTGTCACTTTCTTTTTTCCTTTTTCGCCCATCCTCTCATCTTTGTCAAACCTATCTTTTTCCTTTTTTTCTTTATCCTTAACCTCGAACAATCGTCATGCCTCTTATCACGCGTCCGATACGCGATCGGTAATTTTAGAATTTTTCCATCCTCGTCAATTATCCAGAAATCGTTCATTTTATCTACTTATTTTTCTCTCTCATGCGTTTCCGTTTCGATCGAACGATTTAATAATACAAATGGCGTTGTTCTTCGATCGAATCTGTTTCGCTGAAAAAAACTTTCGATAATAAGACCAACGCCGGTTTAAATAGGGAGAGATTGCACTTCTCTCGAGTGCCTTTTAAATAATTTTAATTTATCAGGCAAGAGATTTCTTCTTCTTTCGTTTCGTTTCGAATGAAGGAAGGTTCCTCCTCTGACCAAATATCAATTCCAATTAAACCGGTTTAATTTCGATGATCATTAGAGAGGAACGATATGGCCGGCCAGCCGTTTGCTCTTTCCAACTCTCCACGGAGTTAAGTTTCGAACTAATAGTGGAAATTTTCATTTCCCGGTGTTGTTTCCGTGGAAGTTTAAAGCCGCTTTCCCACGAGGATTGCGCCTATACACAAAATACGCCGCCAACTTTTCCTCAATTACATCGTTTCTCGCCGTTTCTCTCACACGCGACGATCCTTCTTTGTCCTTCGTGATGGCGCAGGATTCGCGAGAAGAGAGAGAAAAAGCGATTCGTTCGATACGAGTGAAACAGTTAACGCCATGTTTCCAGTCTTTAAATAATCAAGAATGGGAAGAGATCCTACTTTCCGATCGAATGACGCTCTCTACCACCGTTAAAACCTTCCTTTCGTCACGTTTCAGAAGGCGCTTGGCATCAGCCAAGTGTGCATAATCGTTGTGCATACGTGTCGCGAATTAAGGCGTCGAGTGGCGGAACTAATTGGCACGTTCAAAGTTTTACAGGATTTCAATAGGATTGAAATTGAAAACCAGTCCACATTTGAAGAGTTTTCCTCTTCGTAACAGCGTTGCGAATAAATAAAAAATACATATGAAAATAAATTTGAAGAACGCCTCGGGGATTCGAACATTTTTCACGTATTTTATCCCATTTATCCTATTATACGGTAAATCTATTTGTATGAGCGTAAAATTTAATAAATTTCAGACACGGGATGCGAGTTGACCAGCGAGAGCATGCCGCTTCAAAGCGCGCTCACGGCCGCGGTGCAGACGTCGGTAGGAGTGACAGAGATCTCCTTGACATCGAACGCATCGAGCAAAACTAATAACGAGCAAGTGGCACAGCTGTAGGGAAGCTATAATTCGTACTCGAGGGAGAGGGGGGCGTCCTGGCGGCCAGCCAACACTTCTCCTCCCCTCTGGACTTCCGAACGAAGGAGCACAGTGAATAGTGCGAATCCGTGTTAATAAAAAGGGGGATAGCAATGGCGAGCTTAGAGAAACGTGTTGCGCGGCAAAAAGGAACGACGGTAAAAATCTGCGGAGACGAGGCTTAACGAGGCCACTTCCGATTTTTCCTTCTTTGTCCGCGCAATTTGTTCCTACGATACGCTGGTTCCTCGATGTGGGGTAAGCTCAACTTCCTTCCACCGGTAGAATCGTGTCTTTCGATTCGACGAATAAAAGAAGAAGAAGAGAGATAAAAAAAGATAAACAATGTGTATATACACTTATAGATTTCTCTCCCGTTTTATTACGTATCACGCAGGTGGTGTGCGATTAAAAGTGGTGCGTGGACTTCTTAAATTAAGCGAACTATTTAAATAAAAAAATCCGCGTTGCCTATTATCCAATTACACGACACTGGATCGTATCTGTGTCGTCGTAAACTGTCGTCTTCGCTCGTTCATTATATATCGAGATCACTCGATCGTAATTGAGATCGCTGTTGTTATTGTTACTGTTACAAACGGTTATCCTCGTGAATAATATATGAACGCAACAAAGATATTTATATATACGCCTATGTATTAGGTACCGTCGTAACATGAATGTAATCTGGTGGCACGAGTTTGACTTATACATATATACTTCTGTGCATAAGTGTGTGTGTAGATATTTGTCGGTTTTAACGAATGACTGATATACAATATAAATTATTATTATTATTACTATTATTATTATTATTATTATTATTATTATTATTATTATTGTTATTATTATTATTATTATTATTATTATTATTATTATGAAACGATGCTTGTTTAAAATTTTATATTTTATTAAATGTGTCTAATAATATCTGATATCTGGTATTCCGTTGAGTAATTTAATTAATTAAAAATACTTCGAATTGTTAACTCGTCATAATATCAAGACTAATAATTAAAAATAATTATAGAAAAAATTTTGAATATTCTTCTCTTCGTGCCATATTCAATATTATGTTATTGTATTTTTTGATGCAAATTATAATTAAACGGATATCCATGTATTTATGGACGACAGAATACATATTCGAACGAATTGTAAATTGTAAATTGGACATAAGGATAATGATAATGTAAATCCATGAGAAAAATACGACTCGTTGTACGAGCTAATCTGTGACCGGCAAATGTACTTTACGATGTTTGTATCGTTTATTGGTTTAACGAGCCAACTAATTGGCACGATTAAACCAGCGTGTTCACCCGCGTGTCGATGATTAAACTCGATTACGATTAATAATGACGCGACCGAATGGAGTTTTCTCTTTCGGTATTTAGTTCGAAACTGCGCTAAATCGTTGGAATGCATGCACGATGTGCGTTCGCGCGTAAGGGATAAGCTCGTGCCAGAAATTATTCTGTCGGAAATGGTTCGCTCGCGCATATGTAATTAGCTTGTTTCGAGTGATCGACGTTCATTGTCCCACGTAGATCGTTGACGAACTATATATATATATATATATATATATATATATAAAGAAAAAAAAAAAAGAAAAAGGAGAAAAATATTTACATTCCGTGACATGTATATATATTATATACATATTATTAATAAAATAGGATATTTATCACACACGTACTTATACATATACACAGAGTTATTATCGTTGCGCGAGATCTCATGTGTTCCTTCCTCGGGACGCGTAATAATTGCGTGAATTTGTTAATTTTATTCGCGATGCTCCGTCGATATTCAAATTGCATCTTACAACTCGAAAGAAGTTGCTATAATCGGGGACCGAAATTAAATTTTCATTCGAATTATATATACTTCTTCGATATTTTTTAATCGTCTCGAGATTGTGAAATAATACGGAATCATTTTCAATTACGAGATGGATCGTTATTATTCTCTTAAATGTATATTATCACGATATTTCTAAGGAGTTGAGCGTTTATAAAAGTTTATTTATGTTGTTTCTAACAATCGGTAAAGCGGTCGTTCGGATCGCGAATAACGGAATTACCAACAGTCAATAAAAAAGGATCGTAAAAGAAGTGCAATTCGATAGTTCGCCATGCGAAACTTTAGAACAATAACAGGAAGAATGTAAGGGAAGAGAAAGAGTCAGAGAGAAGTGACAATGACAGGAGAAAAATGAATGGCGGAAAATTTTGAAACTAGGCCGACTACGTGATGGCGTAAATTCAATATACACACATACACGTGCACATATACATACACACTTCTTTCATGAAGAGTAGACAATAAATAAATCGCTTTAAGGCGAACCTTTAACCTGGCTCGACCAATATCAGAATTTACACTCGACTTGTTCGATTAAAACAACATCTTGATCTTGTTGTCTAAGATGGTTAGTGGAAATATACGAAAGTAAGAACATGAAAGAGTGATTTAAAACAATCGTGACCTTGAAGATTATAATTCGCTTAAATTGCAAAGATTGGACTGTAGTTAAAAAAAATCGAGATATAAAAAAATTAACTTGTTACATGAACTATTCATACTTGAAATTGTAATCTTCAATAATTATAATACGCAAATGATTCAAATGTACTTGTTACGAAACGCAAAATTCGTTATTAAAAGAAGAAGAGCGTGGGGAAACATTAATATTATGAGGAATTATACTTTGACGAAATTGAAGATCATATAAAAAGATAACTTTGTATCTTTTATTATAATATCGAGCATTGAAATAGATTTGCCCCGTCAAATGGAATTATGGCATTTTATTATTCGCTCTACCTAAAAAAAAATTCCTCTCCTTCGTTCCATTATGAATAAAAAAATAAATTGATCAAATTTAATTAAATAAATTAAAAGTTTAATCATTTTTCAATATCATTTTTAACAGAAATTTAATTTAATTAATATAAAAAATAAATTATCTATCTTGATTTCGACATTTACATTTGATAAATTTCTTTACTAAATTCATAATCCGCGCCAAAAAAACATGGTACTACATTCACTATGCACTTAACCCCCAAATTAAATCGTTTCGTACTTTTTCTTTTCTATTAGTAATAATGATAGTCATTTTAAAAGTAAAAATATAACACACATACACACACACATTACATGCATATGCATATTATACCTGTAACTAATTTATGTTAGCTATTCCGGAATAATTTATATAATATATTATATAAGATAAAGAGATAAATCATATATGTAACACAATTCGAAATCTCTGAATTATCACTTCAAGATCAATATATATATATATATATATATATATATATATATATATATATATTGATATATTTGATAAAATAATTTTAATTCCACTTTAATGTAATTAGAAAATTCATACAGGCACGTAAATCCGATAACGAAAGTGTCACATTCGCTACAGGATTGTAACCTGATTTTAGTGACAGATAAATTAGCAGCCAACGAGAATCAAATTGTCCAGCTGTGCTTTCAACTTTGAGTCCTAGATGACCGATTACATTTATGTTTACAGTTTCGTTGATTTTTAATGCTTTTATGTTGTGCTTTAATATCGATTAACTATTGGTTTAAATATTTTTCGAGATGACACTTGAAGTATTAGCAATTGTTCCGTATTTCTCAATAAAAACACGTTAATATGTGATATATAATATCACATTAAAATTATATAAAATCTTAAAAATTATAATTTAATAATAAATAGCAATCATATTCATGAATCGCGTCGCGATTTAACCTGTATTTGTATATTTCTTATATTTTTAAATGCTAATAAACAATCGAATTTGATTCGTCATTTTCATAATCAGAAAGAATCAAATTTATTTAATTTTCTTTAAATATAAACTGTCACATAAGTCACACTCTTGTATTTGATACACTTACACATCATTATCATGAAAAAATATTTTTACATTCAAATGCATCTTAATATTTAATGACCTGTGTAAGAATATTCATAACTTGTATTGCATGTAAATTTTTTAAACAATCGAAAATATTCAAGGAAATCATTGAAAAAGAAGGACAATGTTGTGATATTCGATTCTGTATAAAAGTGTCTGATTAAAAGAAAACGAAAAAGCAATGAAACAATTATATTTGAAAATAATAATATTTAAATAAATAATCGTTATCACAGTTGTTTCATTATTATGCAGATCCAATGTGCATTTAAATTTAAATAATGTCAAAACTTCAATCGATTAACAACGATCATAAATATTATCAATGACGAACAAAACCACGAAAGAACTCGTTGAAATTAACGTTTGTGCATCAAAGGAATATAACGGAATATAATCGTTCATTAAGTACAAAATAATTTTATTCTTTACCAGTGCCACTGATACAGCAGTTGCGTAATTTCTCTTCCAAGTACGTAAACATATATTATTTTGATAATACTGACGCAATGATAATAACAAGCTTGCTCGAAAGAACCATACTCTTATATCTTTATAATTATGGACAATCTTTCACTTCTCCATTAGCTGCGATATATTTCAAAAGAAAATCTTGATTATATTTGGAACTGGTGAAATTTTTTTGCGATGGGAATAATCAAGAAGTTCACGTTTTTAACATTTTTGGTAAGAGAATATTGAATAACGATATATCTTGATATGAATCGATAAATCATTATAAATATTATCATCGTGTAATTTCGGCTATGCTCGGTAATTTTCGAGTGCGCGTTTAACGAACAAAACGATTCCATGACAAATCGAATCACTTTGATATTCAATATTTGAAATGTTGTTTAAATTGAAATATATATATCATATAAAAATAAAAAAAAAATATAGACGAAATTATTTATATATGAATTAGAAAATATTTCAATTTGAATAAAATTCTAAAATATCAAATATAAAAATGATTGATGTAAGCATAAAGATGAGAATAAATTTAATATTTACGATTATTTTATTACTAACAAGAACATGATGATGTCACACTTAATATCAAAAATTAAATTAAGTAACTAAAATATAGAAAACAAGGAAAACAACAAATATTTTTTATCATCTGATGCGTTTAATCAACATGACGTAGATATGGCTAGCAATCTAGTTATATGCCGTTTATATTGGGATTGTTCAACCTTTAGAGAGCCAATATATGTTCTGCTAGAGAACGTCATCTCTTACGATACACTCCATTTTGTGGTCTCTGAGCAAATTATACATCAGAGAACTACTAAAGTAATAAACACGTAACCGTGTCGCAATAAATGAAATTAACACGCGACCTAGCCATCTGATCAAAGTTGCTAAAAGCGTCTACATTTTGTGTCAGAATATGTAACGGAATTAATAGAGAATTATGAAAGGTTTCCAATTCGATTTCTATTCATTTTGATTCTATTTCAAATTTCGAATTAAATATGATGTATTTGATTAAATAATGAATTATTATTAATGAATAATGAATAATTATATAGTCTTTAAAAATAAGAAAAATTTGAAGAAATAAGAATTGTTTTGATTGGATAATTTCTATAAATTATATGATGTGATTGGTTAATGTTTCCTATTACAATAATATACAATCATCTAAATAATTAATTTTATTTAAATATTTATTATTAATTATATTAACAAAACATTAGAATATCCAAACATTTGATTTATATTAAGTATATGTTTTGTTTTGCTTAATATAGATATCAAAAGATAAGATAAATATGTAAATATAATTACTTACCAGTACAGATGTTTTCTTCCCATTATTAAGCTTAATGTATTCGTCTTCGGATCTGAGAAAATTATCCAGAAGCAGCTGATTTAATTTATATATCGATTCGAATTATCTTATCTAAACAACAATACACTACTATTAATTCATTCCTTAAATCACTAATTCGTTTCTATTCGATTATTTTTCAATTTTTATTTCACTTTATTCACGTCTGATTCACTTGCTTAAGTCAAAATTCAAACTAAAGATGGCTACAGAACGTCACACTAATCGATTGTATAATCGAAATTAAATTGATCGCATTTTAATAATCGATAACGAATTCAATACGCCAAATTCAATGTATAAGATAGTATTTTTTTAAAGTTTGGCGCTTGAATGTAAATACAAATATATAATTTTCTTATTTCGTTTCTAATATAAATTTAAAATAGATACACGAAATTGTTCAGAAGCAAGGATTCTTCTGTTCAGAACAAAGTTATTGCTGACGAATTTATAAAGAAATCAATATTTATTTAGGCTAGAAATGTACGCGATCAAAAATGTCGATTTTTCTCCGTAAGCTACTTTCGATACGGAGCTGTCGTCCCCTTCAAACTATCGGATATCGGAGAAGGAATTCGAGACGTCACGATAAAAGAATGGTGAGCAAAACAATGAATTTTCTGTTAATCATTATATCCACGAAATATTCGTAATTATCGATCATTTCTCTTTACTATCAGACTATCTTTTTCTGAGAATACATTTAAAAAAAAAAATAAAAACACATAACCTATATATAAATACATTCAAAGTATCCTTTAATAGTGCGACAACAGTACATTTTATTCCAAATGTATTAAAAACAAATGAAATATAGCTCCGTATATTCAAATGTATAGGTACGTGAAACCAGGCGACCGAGTGTCTCAATTCGATAACATTTGTGAGGTTCAAAGCGACAAAGCATCTGTGACGATTACCAGCCGTTACGACGGATTAATTAAAGCCTTGCACTACAAGGTGGATGATATAGCTCTGATAGGGAATTCATTGCTGGACATTGAATTAGATGATGATAATGGAAACGCACAAGATAGAACAACAATCTCTGAGAATCCGCAGCAACAGCAACAACAAACCACAAATACTAAAAATAAACAAAATTTTGAAAGCGACGAAGAAAAACACATAGTAAAATGTGGGTTAGAAAAAACCTTAGCCACTCCTGCAGTTAGAAGGATAGCTATGGAGAAGAATATTAACTTAAAGGATGTTGTTTCCACTGGTAAAAATGGTCGAGTACTTAAAGAAGATATATTGACTCACTTGGAAAAAATTTCTGTTAACTCTATAAGAAAAAGAATTGAAGAAAAACCAATAGTGGAGACAGTGGTACCGATAAAAGGTTATAGTAAATATATGTGGAAAACGATGACGCAATCCTTGGTAAGTTGAATTTTCTATTACGCGAAAATATTTTGCAGAAGCTGAAATTCCTAAAAAATTATATATTTACACCATTTATTTTAATCGAATAGTTTTAAAACATTTTGATTATTTATCTTCTTTCTTATTTCTTTTTTAAATCTCTAATTTATATATATATATATTTTATTTTTTCATTTCTTATTGAGCATATAAAAAACGAAAAATATTTAAATTGAATTATTTATATATTATTATTAAGAAAAAATTTTCTAAGATAATAACAAAACGTATAATATATGTCTCATACTGAATGTCTCGAAACTGCAATATTAATAATTAATATAACTTAAGTTAAAATGAATTCGATAATATGCAAATATTATATAAAATGCGTCGTCTGAAAATAACGTTCATATATACGATTGATAGCGATCGATCGAATCCAAGTACTTAGTCCGAATGACAGATGAAATGTTGTTAAAGTGTTTCAAAAAATATAATTATTTTAATTATTTCATTTCTTAATTCTATATCTTTATGTTCAAATATGAAGTGTATATATATATATATATATATATATATATATATATGAAGTATATATGTTTATCTGTGTATTAATATCATTAATTACTTCAAATAAATATATAATTAAATGAATCTATTGCGAAAAATATACAAAATTGACAAAGTGTAGCATTATTTACAGAATATACCACATTTTGTATACAGCGATGAGTGTAACATTAACAAATTGATAGATTACCGGAACGAAGTGAAAGATTCACTGAAAGATCAAAGCGTTTCATTAAGTTTCATGCCATTCTTCATAAAGGCCGCATCTAGAGCATTAGAAAAAGTGCCACAACTAAACAGCTGGCTTGATGAAGAAAATCAAGCGTTGCGCGTTCAGAAGAGTCATAATATTGGTATTGCTATGGATACATCTGAAGGTTTAATTGTACCAAATATTAAAGATGTTCAAAATTTGAATATCATAGAAATTGCGAAAGAATTGAATCGACTACAAAAACTTGGAAGAAAATCTTCGATTCCATTAAACGATATATCGAATACAACATTCACGCTGTCAAACATCGGTGTTGTAAGTTTAAAAATATTTTCTAAAAAGAATCAAAACAAATCAAGTGATATTAATTATTAAACAATTGAATTAAATTTTAAAATTATTTTAAATTAATTTTAATTTAAATTTCAAATTTAAAATTTAACTGCTATTTAGGTTGGTGGAACATATACAAAACCAATAATTCTTTCTCCGCAAATTGTAATCGGCGCATTTGGAAAAATACAAAAATTACCACGATTTGATGATAAACAAAACATTGTAGCCACAAATATAATTTCTATTAGTTGGGCCGCCGATCATCGAGTAGTGGATGGTGTTACAATGGCAAAGTATTCGAATTTTTGGAAATATTATATAGAAAATCCTCTATTTTTATTATTAGGAGTATAAAAATGATATATGTCTGAGATATTTTAATAAGCATTTTTTTAATGGAAATTTATTTATATATATAATGATTTGGACTTTATATATAATAAACAATTGAAAATCTTATAATTGTATTTCAATTTTATAAGAATAAATATGTAAAGAATAATACAAATTTGGAAACATTTTATACGTAAATATTAATTTATTTATTGCTGCACAACCAACTAGGATTTTTTAAGAAAGTTAAAATATCTTTGCCTAACATATTCAAAGTGTTACAACTGTATGGTAATTATTATATGATGACCAGTCAAACCACTGTGAGCATTTTTTGTACATTTAATTTATACATTGTTATACAAATTCTTTGAGTAGGTATTCCAAAAAATAGGTTGAGAAAGTGGTTGTACTAATTATTGTTTTTTTATTAGTAATTTTCATTTTATAATTTACTTAAAAAATTATTCTATCAAATTAAAATCAATGATTAATTTTATGAAATAAAAAAAAAAGTTATAAAAAGAAAGAAAAATATCAAAAAAAAAAAGAATCATAACTCAAATTAAATTCTAAGTAATGAGTACGACCACTTGTTTACTTACATATTTTTAATTTTTTATATATACAGTTTCATGTACCACATTTCTAATCACACATTTCCCATACAATCAATACATTCCATTAAATGCCACTTAAATATTTGCTCAAAAAGTAGTCAGTCTGTTTAGTAGTTAGAGTAGTAGAAAAGATTGTATATGCGTTTTATGGTCCAAAATTCTTTTTTTAACAATCAAAATATTAATTTATCTCGCAGAAAATTCTAATTGAGTATTTGAGCATAACATAATACATATTAAACAAAGTGTTATATCTTATTATGAAAATATTAATACATATTTAAAGTTTACTTTGTACACTATACTAATAATGAATAAACATATAAGAGTATTTGTTAAAACGTAAAGCATACAATAAATATATCATCCTTTTCTATTATAAATCTTAAAGTAAAATTGATATTTAAAAAAATTACACAAATTATTAATAGAAATAAAAATATTATTAGATGAAATTACAATTCACCTCATTATATTTCATACTTTCCAATATGACTAGGTATGCAGATTATTATTGATAATTTAATTAATCCAAAATTTAAATCTCAAGCTAGTTTTATATATATATATATATCATAGAACTACATGTACTCATAAAAAATAATTAAATAATTTGACTAAGAATACTTTATAATTATATGTATGAGTACAAGTATATAGTTATCTAAAATTACTTTCACAAAATATTTAAATCAAAAATAATCTGCTCTTTTTTGTCAATTTACTTCTAAAATATATCAAAATTCTATGTATTTTACATAGAAAGAGTAATTCTTATTCACTGAATAAGTTGTACCGGTATACTTGAAGGAAATCTTTCTGAAAATATAACACTTTTTGTTATAATTCTTAATTCTGGAAGTTCTCTTTCTAAACTTCGCTATAATTCCAAATAATGTACTGAAAAATTTGAAGCTCAGATAGTTATAGAAGAGAACAATTTATATATATATATATATATATATGTGTATATGAAGTCATACTCAACAGTCATATGAGCACATGCATGCATATTTTCATTTTAAAGCTATCATGTAACTGTAATATATAAATATATATAAATATATATATATATATATATATTTATATAAAACTAACTTATTAAAGAAATTGACCACAAAAATGAATACCAAAAATACATCGTACTGACTTTGAAAGACAATAAAAAAAATAAATATTATTTAAACATACTTTCAAAAATGCATAAATCATTTCTTTTAAATCCTTATATAACTAGCAAAATTAATTAAAACTGTTATAAAATATGTAATGAAATATATATATTAAGAGAATGTGCGTAGTAATTATTCTGTAAATGCGAGGTAAAGTGAAGTGCGATTGTTATTTTGTTATAAAAGTTCTGGGATACAAACAATATATTGGTTATAACTCATATCTTGACTTGAACAGTATTCATTTGTGTTATTTATCATCAATCTTTCTAAACATTTATCTCACAGCTCTACCCATTTACATGATTAATCTTCATTTTTTTTTTTTAACTTTACTAACATAGAAAAGTAGTATTTTATCTTACTATTTGGCATTATTATGCCATATTAATAACTGTTGTGAAAACATAGTTTCTACAAGGTACATACATTTGTTTCTTTACATAGAATGAATCAAATATAATAATTCACAACCATAATAATAAAGATCTTATTTTATCAAACACTTAACTTGACTCTGTTATAAGAGAATCGCTAATATTTAATAAAAAAACTTATCACGAAACAATGGCAAGTAAAAATATATAAAATCGTTTGAAAATATAATGTATTATTAATGAATAATTTTCATTAAAAAATATTTTTTAAAATAAAAATAAAAAAATGAAAAGAAAATTTAAAACAATAGCGAAATTAATAAAAAAATTAAAAATATTACTAATAAAATTAGAATACATAGAAGAATATCTCTCTTTTTTTTTACCTTAACAAGATTCTTACAGATATTTTTCAAATAATTTAAACTATACTATTTTTTAATATAAAAATAAAATTATTAAATAATAAATTAGTCATTTCTTTGTGCTTTTAAAATCTTTGTTGGATAAATTTGTAAAAAAATCATTTCTAAATACAAAATATTTCATATGATATCTTAAAAAAAATTTCTGTAAGAATCTCATTTAATCGACAAAGATAATATTTGTATATATATATATATGCATAATATATGTTCATTTTTTTATATAGTATTCTTTTAAGTGTATATGAATAATAAATAGTATTTGTTTCTGGCACATTGTCAGTTCTCTGCAAAGAGAACAGGTAAGTTGACACAAATACAATCAACACCATAAAACAACACAAATATATTTTTATGAAGTTGGAAATTCAGGAAGAAAGTTATCATTCTATAATTTTATGCTGAATAATTTCTATTTTACCTAGTTATGTGCCCAAATAATACGAGCGAGCTGTGAATCGGCCCATGAAGAAACTTTTCTTAAAAATAGTTTTAATTGTACATCACATTTTAAATTTTTTTTTCTTTTTATCGTAAATTGTGCAAAGGAGCGTATTTCTAATCTACGGTATCTAAGAGTCTATGAACGGAATTTTTTTTGAATTTATTTTTTTTTAAAAAAAGCTCGGTTCATAAGGCGTAACCATTGGAAGCTAGAAATATTTGCTCAAATAAATGCCACCACTCCCACCTTTGGTAACGCTGTTTCAGTCGTATAATTCAATTCGATGATATCGGAAAGTATGATTTACTACCATGAAAACAAGCGTTTAGAACTAATAAAATGGAACTTTCGTTTTTTCAATGAAGTATGATATGCACTAATGTTAGTTAAAAAATATATATACTAAAAAAAACTTACATGAAATGTATTCAGTTCGATGTGATAAACTGATTACTAGTATATGAAAAAAGATTATTTTTCTTTAACTAGATGTCATTGATGACGGCTAATCATCATGGATACAACTGCTCCTGTTGCTCGAAGAACAGCCACAGCATTGTTATGATCAGATTTAGTAAAGTCAATGCCATCCACTTCTAAAATTTTATCTCCTGGTCGAAGTGTACCTTGTGCAGGACCATCTGGATTTACTTTAGTCACTATAATTCCCTAAAAATAAATAAAAATGATAATTAAAAAAATAGAAAATTTTACAAAAAAAAAACATTATATTCCATTTAAATTTGAAATATTTACGGTTTCGGCTCCTGCTACTCCACCTGCTATACTAAAACCAAGACCAGGATTTTTTTTCACTTGAACAGGCAACTGTACAAATAATAGTTATAAATTGTGAATTGTAAAAATATTATGTAAATATTATTATAAAACAAAAAAAAAAAAAAAAAAGATAAGAGAAAAAGAAACATACAACATTAGCGTTCTTATGCGGTCCGAACATCCATTTAAATCTTGGTTTTCTTTCTGGATTTAATGATTCATTCCGTCCAACAATTTTATATTTATCAACATTAGAATTAGTCACTTCATTTGGAAACTTATTATTTGATAAAATTGGAGTACTTCGACCAGAATTAGCTTCATTTTTTATATTGACAGAATTGTTCATATTTAATGATGTTTCAATAGATAAAGTTTTTGAAGTTCCTTCCATATTTGGATTTGTAACTAAAGTTGAATTTGTTGCATTCATAGATAAATTATCACAGGAAGCATTATTATTTGAAGTTCCATTTATTATTTTTTTTGATCGATCCGAAACTTTGTGTTGCATAGAAAGCGGACTTCGATATTTTTTTCCTGTTATCGGAGATGTAGGTATACATGATGCGTTCAATATTTTTAAAGTTTCATAATCTTCAACAGAAGAATTTATACAGTTTTTATTTGATAAATCGCTGTTTGAAATAGAATTTGTATTTTCTAAATGTTTTATCTTTAAAATAGGAATTCTACTTGGCTTTAATGATCTATCTCCTTCTAAGGATTGTTCTGGATCTATTGATTCTGTTAATATATGTGTTTGATCAGTATTATTAAAAGAATTTATCTTTTTATCGTTATTTGTTTTATTAGTTACATCTGTATTATTTGTTGAAAATTTATCATTATATTGTTCTTCGTCATAACTTTGTATTTGCGTTTCCTGTGATATTTTTAAATTTGATGTGTTAATATCAATTTGTGGAGGAGACAAATCCAATTGAGCTGCTGTAATGACAAAATAAAAAATCCATATTGCCATCTTAATAACAAAAAAAGAAAATGACTTACATTGATTTAATTGTTGAAAAAGTGCTGCTTTTTTTGAAAATGCAGCAGCAATATGATATGGTGGTGGGACAGGTGGTACTTCATTTATTTTTTGTATTTGAACATGATCAGTATTCTTGTTGCTTATAATAATAGGCATACTTTTATAAGGTTCTATAAACTTTTCTGATTCAATAATTTTTGCTGTATTTGCTTTCGAATATTCATCCGGTTTCCAAGTAGAATTTACATAATCTGCTACTGTTGGAGGTTTGGAAATGTATTCAGATGTAGGATTACGAATATATTTTGCTTCTCTGATATCTGGACTTTTTTCTTTTGCAAGAACCGTTTTGTTCGCTTCATCGGAAGATTCTTCTGAAACAGATTGTTCTGTTCCAATATCCGTAGGAGTATTAGCTTTGCACTCTTTTGATATATGATGTTCGGTTGGTGATAATGATGAATGTGAACCCTAAAGAATAGAAACTTAAAATTATTTCATGATTCTTTATTCCTTATTTGCAGAAACTTTAAGATTATCCCTATAAAATTCTATTTAATATTGCTTTATTTTTTAATATAAATATATATATTTTTTTGTATTTCTTGAATTCATTTGTTTTCAATTATATTTTAATCTATTGTAACATTTGTTTAACTTTATTATCAAAATCATTAATAATTATTTTTCAATCTAATAAAATTGCCTTTTTCATAATTCTCTAATGAATACCTTATTAAATAAACTTTGTGAAAAACAGGTCCCAGATTTTGAAGTAAGGTCCAAAGTAGTTGTAGCAATAATAGCTTCTTTGATCATAGTCTCCTGTTCTAAATGCATCTGTAAGTTTCAATTGGCAATTTTCTTGTATTCTAGATGTTAATTATAAAAAAATATACATAAAAAAATATAAGAAAAACATTTTAATTGGCTTTGAAATTGTTATATTCTGCAGTATTATTTTTAATTCATAAACATTTTTTTCCCTGTTAGATTAGAAAAAAAGAAAGAAAAAAGGGAACAAAAGTGATATAAAATTAAAAAAAAAATAATTGCATTTTAAATCGCGACTCTTACTCTTTCATCATGTGCTGATTGATGATGTAAATTGCGGGCATGCCTAGCAAGGTTGCGCAGCTCTTTAGGATAAGGAGTTGGTGCTCGGTGAAGTTGTCTAGGGATCTCAGATTCTACTTCAGCAGCAAAACATATTCTTTTTCCAGTACCAACAATTGAACTCGAAATTAATCCTACAGCTGGTGTTATTTCTACAAAAAAAAAAAAAAAACGAAATTCTAATTATATATACATTTATATTAGAAATTTCTAATTAATTTTAAATAATATTATTATTAATATATTTTAGTAAATAAATTTGTTAGCACATACTTTACCATTTCATTCTTCATCTTCTTCTTCATTATCCACTAGCAGCAATAGTGGATCATATTTTATTATATATAAACTTATTATAATATTATACAATGCATAAAATTTATGTATATATCACCAAATAGATAGAAATACTTACGCTCAAGTTCTTGCCGTGGTTTTTGTGGTAGCATAAAGCAACTTAACACCATCATGTCTTCTTCACAATTAAATTCTTGTTGCAATGGCACTAATGGTTGACTTTGATTGTCGCTCAGCCATAATGCTTTTAAATTGCTCAAGTTTAACATAGAAACGGGCAAAAATTTAATGCAATTGTTTACAAGATTGAGTACTTTTAAAGAAGATAAATGTCCCAATTCAGGTGGAACTCGAGTTAAATTGTTTGATCTCAATGACAACAATGATAACGCCGTACAACTTCCAATTTCTGGTGGAAGGCATCTCAAATAATTATTGTCTACATTTAAACAATGTAATTTTCGCAAAAGTCCTATTGATGATGGCAAATATTCGAGGAAGTTCTTAGTAACTATAAGCTCCTCTAAGTTTGACATTTGTCCAATGTCATTTGGCAGTGCATTCAATTGATTGTCATCAACTTTAAGAGTCACAATTGTACGTAAATAACAAAGAGAATCTGGTAATTGATAAATTTCATTTGATGACAGATGCATAATGGAAATATCTCTCCATCCTTCTACTTCTGATGGAATAATATGAATTGCATTCATGGTACAATCAAAATGATTTAAACGGTAAAGCTGATTAATGTTGAGTGGTATACGTCTGATGTCATTACCATCTATCCACAATTCAGTGAGATTGATAAGATCCCCAACAACTTCAGGCTAAAAAAAAAAAATCAATGTATATAAATTAATAAATAGTAATCATAGAATATAATATAAAAATATAATGTAAACATACCAATTCCGTAAAATCATTATTACCAATATCAAGTCTTTGCAAATTTATTAAACGACTCATACTCTTTGGTAATGTCATCAAATTATTTTCCCTAAGTTCTAATGTTTTCAAAGCTGAAAGTCTTCCAAAATTTGCTGGTAGATATTCTATGTATGCATCATTTATATACAATTCTCTTAATCCAACAATATGTGTAATAGCATCTGGGAAACGTTCAAATGGATTAACACTGATATCTATAGAACGAAGATTTTTACATTCTTTTATACTGTCTGGTAGTTCTTTAATACCTAAAAAAGTAAATACAAAAATTGTGATAAATTATTTATAAAAAGAACTATATAAAACTTTTACATAAAAAAAATATAATTTAATTTAGTATTAATTAATATTAATTTAATATTAATTTATATAATTTATAATTTAATATTAATTTATTATAATTAAATATAATTTAATTATAAATATAATTTAGATTCATACTATTTTTACTGAGGTCTAAATATTCCAAATTAATTAATGATGCTATGGCGGGTGGTAACGTTGTGACTTCATTATCACTGAGGGAAAGTACTCGTAATTCATGGCACTGAAATAATGGTCTTGGAAGATCCTTTATCTATAATAAAATATGAAAATTATATCTTTGAATCATAGGAATAGATAAAAAAATAGATATATAAAAAATAATCACTAATATTTATTTTTACCCTATTGGCATCAAGATAGAGTTTTTCCAATGTTCTTTCATAAATGAACACATCAGGTGGTACATCATAAAGATTACAATTATTTAAGTGCAATTCACAGATATCTTCTTCTTGTGTTCTCAAACATGCAGCACACTGCCACCAAGCACTACCCATTTCATGTATAACTACAAACAAATTTTTTTGAAAAATATGTACTTTTTATAAAAAGAAATCATGATATATTTTTTTAATAATAATTAGAATTAAAAAAATTTATAAAGTATCGAAAAATTCTTTTTATTACCTATAATACTTCAAGAATGATGATTCTTTATCATCGATATATGTATAATAAAAGATAGATTCTTGAATAAAATAACTGGATTCGCTAAAAATTATTCTATGAAATTTTTAAAAATCATTCGGCTATCAATGTGTCAATATTCGGTTTTTTACGTGCCGGCTTTGTCAAAGTTATTTCTTGCCACATCATCGCGAATACTATGATACGCGATGCACTTGTTGATAAGTTTTTTTTCTCAAGTAGAAATGAGAATAATGTACAAAACGTAATGATGCGTTGATCAACACTGGTTATGTCATAAGATGTAGGTTATTCGATATTTCTCTTCAAAAATTCTGTTTATAAATATGTCTCACTGTTATTTGCTGCATATTCTATTTTTTTATACAATCAATAGAGTAGTAACTAATTATGACCCAATAAAGCAATAAAGAATGTTCTCTCAAAGATAAAACAATTTGACACATTTGTGAAATTCGACTAGGCATACAACGAGATTACTATTTATCGAAAAATCTTCGATAATATTAATGGTTTGTTCATAACGCCTCAATATTTTATTTAAACAATTGTTTGTAGATTTTTATGCAACATGTAATATATATTACAAAGATTTTGCAAAATTTATTACTATAAACGTCATTAGAAATAAAAATGCATGTTCAATATAGCAGATCGTTATTGAATATTTTTGTCTATATAGTAGTATGAATCAATTATAATACAAATTTTATCCTAAAAAGTGAACGAATCTTAAATCTACAATATTTGTGGTTGTTTGATATGAGAATGCGCCTTAGCTGGCGCAAAATCGACAACGACAAGTGACGTTTTCATTCGTACACGTGCGCAGAAGTTAATTAATGGATTAAGCGTGATGAGAATAGAAGACAAGACATTGTAATGTGTTATAACAAAAATTAAATTTATGTAATATGTACAAATAGAAAAAAGAATTGTCATACATTGAAACATTTGTTATATTGATTATAACTGAGATTAACTAAGATTCATGAATGCAAGGTAGAATTTTCGAAAGAAATCAAGATCGTAAACAATAGGAAAATGAGTTCTGGCGACTATAAAGGTAGTGAAAATGAGGATATCGAAAACTCGGATGAAAGTGATAGACCATCAGGCGAGAGATGGGCACCCGTTGGTGCAAATGATGGTGATAATGATTTTGCCGATGAATATAAATATGTCGATAATATGGAAAAGTAAGTACTTCATAAATAACATAAAAGATGCAATATTTATTACTGTTAATTGTATATCCAAGGGAAAAATTTAATTTTACAAATATTTTTGATATATTCTAATAGTTTACCATATGATATGGAAAGGCTAAAAGTGCTTGAGGAAGAACAAGAAATGCTTAATTCATCTCTTATAGCACTGACTACTCATTTTGCCCAGGTATTAAATAAATATGAAATTATAACTTGTATTTGTTATAAAATACAATGTTTTAATGTTTAAAATCTGGTTATCTTAGGTTCAATTTCGTTTAAGACAAATTGTAGATGCACCAGCAAATGAAAAAGAAACATTGCTCAAAGAATTAGAAGAATTTGCTTTTAGGGGAATACCAGATGTTCCAAATAATTTATCACTTGATAGTAGATCAATTACCCCAACTTCTCCAATGTCTTGCAAACAAAGTGTAAGGCACATAAAAACTAGCTATATTTAACTATGTTATATATTATATAACTATTATATATCTTTTATTAATTTCTTAAAATTGTTGTTTGTTTTATTAAAAAGATAATTCAATATTTTATAACTTAATAGATATCTGGAGTAATAAATGATATTGATATTGAATCTAAAATGGCATTACAAAGAACAAAACAAAAAGAATTAATATGTCAATTAAAATCTCAATTAGAAGATCTAGAAAAATATGCCTATGAAACTGGTGATGCAGATTTACCACAAAGCATGATATTAGAGAGACAGAATATCATAATAAGTAAGTTTTTTAGATAAATACTTGATTAAAATCTATTCTGATCTTATTATTTTCCCCAGATCATTTAAAAGAAAAATTAAATTTCAATGTTGATGATCTTTGTAAATTACCAGTTGATGATTTAAGATGGCAAGTAGATTATGCTATAAGCCAGGTAAATTGTTTTGTCTAATAGAATAAATTACCAAAAAAATAGTTGATAATATAATAATAATTGATATGATAATAATTGATAGATTAATGAATTAAAAAAAAAAATAATCAACTTATAATCACTTACAGATTGTTAGTCCTTTGAAAATGAAAGAACAGTTAGTATCACAATTAAAAACACAAATTGCAGATTTAGAACGTTTTATAAATTATCTTCAAGGAGAAGTTAGTACAGAAACTTTAGCATGTACCTGTGCATGCCCAGTACATACAAATCCTGCTGGTTCTACTTCTTATGCTAAAAAATCATTTAACAGAAAAACAGATGAAGAAAATAGAACAAAAACTCTGAACACTGTTAAGAAAGTTGTAGCTCTGTTACATATGTTCCTAGTATCTCAATTAGGTTGTGGTAGTGAACGAGTTCGAAGAAACTTTAAGAAAAATTCTATACATAATTGGCGTGATTTAAGAACAAGATTAGATATCGCAGTTGAACATGTTATAGAGACTATTGCCGAAGTTGAGCGTCATCCAGAAGATGACGATATTGCTAATGAAGACGATTACGCTTCGGATTCAGATTCTATGTCTCATTGCAATGCCCGAGTAACATCTGCTGTAAGGAAGCATTTAGCAACTTCCATACGTGATTTAATACAACACGGTTTAATGTCTGATGCGCGTTCTAATAGTGTAGTACCATTTGTTGGATGTTTTCCTCAAAGAAATTCTTCTACTTCTAATTTAATGCATGCATGGGAACTAATATTGAAGTATTATGAAATTAAAAATGGCCATCATTACAATTCTAGTCCAGCACAAAAATTATCTCAAAGTTTTAATCTCGATCTAGCAGGTGGAAGAGTTGTTTCTTCTAAACAGGTAGCTATTATATGCTTGATAATATTTTGTTCAAATTAAATTTAAATAGAATTTATTTTATAAGAAAATTATAACTTTTAGAGTTTATTAACAACAATTGGAAACATTATTGCATCACACAGTCCATACAAAAGGAGTTATGATTCTCATTTTAAAGCATTTATATGTGCATCTCTTAAGTGAGTAAACATTTTACAAGAAAATTAGTTAAAAATCGTTTTATGAGAATAAAAATTTAAGATTTATATCTTTTTTATTATAGTACTAACAAACTTGTTATTTGGTTAAAACTTATCTTGCAATGTCAATATCTTCTTGAAAATCATTATACATCATGGAGTTATGTTATAAAAACAGGTAATTAAGACATTAATGTACAACTATTTTTATTGGATACATTTTGATCTATCTTTGAATATCTTTATATTATTATTACAAATAGGTTTCCAAGATGCGTTTCATACTCTCGATCGCCTTACTAGCTACAAATTTGATCTACCAGTTGATTTGGCGGTAAGACAGTTTCAAAATATAAAAGACGCATTTTGATTGCAAAAAATATTAAATATTATATTTAGGAGAAAATATAGGTACTTATTTTTAGCAAGTTAAAGATGAAATATCAGATTTTTCAATTAAGTAAATAACAAACAGTATATTTTAACTTTATATTAATATTATGATAGTATATCTTTTTAAATAATTTTTAAATATTATTTTGCAAATATTTTGTTATTTTTCGAATATTCATTATTAAACAATTCTTATAATGCAATAATGTAATAACTTAAAATATCAGTATTTTGATCTCGTATTTTTAGAATTTAGTTTTTTTTATTTATATAATTATATTATTTCGAGAATATAAAGTATCATGCAAAAAATAAAAAATAATAATATGTCATACGTGAAAGTATCAATGATAAATTATAATATAAATCTTGTAATACAATATAAAGTGCAGAACAGGTAATAATATAACGCTGCCTGACAACAATAAGGACTGAAATATATGTACATTATCTAGTTATTTTTAACTATATTTTTGGATATTGCACGTTCATGATAAATTAATAAGTTTGGAATAAAAAATTTTATTTACACCATTTAAAAAGTAATATTGTAAATTTAAATGGGATTTATAAAATTAATGAACGTGATTTTTACTGTGATTAAATTTAAGATCTTGATACTAAATTTCATTACAAGGAAATCATATTAATTTATATTAAGAATTAATCTATCAAAATCCAAAGAATAAACCAAAGTTGTTTTTAATACTCCATAAATTAAATAAGTGCATTTTTTTTAATTTTTAATTTTATGATAACATATCATTGAAGTAATAATTAAATTTAATAATGATTTATTAATGTGTGTAAATTTTAATGTTGTAATATATTGCTAATATTTTATCTTTGTTACATTTTATAGAATTTTATAATTGATTTGTACAGTATAAATGCTTAGTTAATCATGAGAAAAATTATTCTTTTTTATTGTACAGCTAAAAATATGTATGTATATCAAATATTATGTATACAGCAGTAAATTATTGTTCCTAATTTTATGAACATTATTTCAAAAAAGACATACATTTTATTAAAATATATGCATTATTTTAAAACAGTAGTTTCCTAAGATATATATGCGACTATTGTATCGCCTATACAAGATATTTCACGTATAAGGTAGCTGTAAGAATATTAATTGTATGATTGTATTATATTATATAAATTTGCTTTTTATATACCATGATTTGACGTTAGTTCATTGAAAAAAATTTGCGGAAATATATTTATGGAACAATGTATTTATTTTTTTGCAATTTATTGTCCCAATATTCCATTTTTTTATATAAATAAAGAAAAAACTATGGAATATATGAAATTGGTTGTTTATTTCTTGTAAAAGTTGTACATCAGTAAAAGTTTCATAGCAGTTTTTTCAACATGTTCGTAATATTTCATTGATAATTCCTCGATATTCATAGTATATAAGGTACATAATTTTTATTAGCTCAGTTAAATATGATTCTTTACAATAAAATAAAATGTAATCGATTGCTCTTTGTAAATGTATGAATTTCGTTAAAGATTTATAGAGTATCGAGGAATCTCTATGTTTTTACAGATTAGATTAGTTTGTTGTACATAAAATTCAGAATAGAGTTTACTATCGTTAATAACACATCTGAACTCAACGAAGTATATAATACCAGAAATTTCTTGGTCATAGATAATACATATCGTGCATGTATTATCGTAATATCATATTATCATGTACAATTCTACTCATACAGGATACAAATACACAGATGTAAGAGCACAGGCTTGGTAAAAATTTTTTTTGTCATCTTCACAATATAAAAGTCGTGTATAAAAAGATCTGTGGAAGAGCATTTGAATATTGCATTCACACTTTTTGTATATAGTAAATCATATTTCTAATGCTCAACCAAATGATTTAATTAATTATTTTTTAAAATCAATTAGATAATGACATTCATATTACACATATCTAGGTACTTAAGCATAGGATACAACATTCACAAATAAATATGCTCTTCGCAACATATATATATATATATCCTTGTGAAAATACTGATGAGTGAGATACATCTATTGGAATGCAAATGCAATGATAAAATACCAATAGATAATTTTAATATTGAAAAAATACTAAATTATATCACAAAAAATTGGAATCAACATAAAGTACAAATAAGAAAGAGTTCAAATTAAATTTTCATTTTTCATTTAATAATATTATATGCCTATAAAATAAATACTTCAAATTAATTCTATATTACAAGTAAAACATTCATTTAAATATTGTTTACAGTACAATAATAATTTACTTTCAAACCTTATGTATAACAGTTGCACAGTATACACTCATTTAATGTTTTTTATTTTTTTACTATAACATTCGTCATAATAGCTTTTAATGATATTAATTTTCATACATTAAATAAGCTATGTTTTTTGATACAGCAACGATCTAACATCTAACAATTAAGGACAGTTTACATATAACGTTGCTAAATATAAACCCATTTCTTTATAGCCAAATTGTTCACATAGTTATATAAATTCAATATTATCTGTCTTAGGCTTTAGTAAAACATTGTTATTTTTTTGTTTCATATATATTTATATATAGGAAAGTTTGCCTGTTTTTCATAATACAATGTATGTCTCTTAACATATTTTTATTTTGAAAAAATAAAAAAAACATCGCTAATACATACAATTATATATGTATATAAATCTTTATGCACATACTTATAATTATCAGGTCAACTAGTTCAACTAAATATTTTTTTTTCAATTTTTCATAAAAATATATTAAAAAAGGAGTCAAAAAAAAGTATTCACAGATAATAAAAATTGTTTTAGTAATATAAATATCTTTATAATTATTAAAACGAAAAATTCATTATTCTTAGTTATTAAATATTTATTATTAATTAGAAAGATTTTTGTTTTTTAATAGAATATTAAATAAATATTTTAAGCATCATTATTATAATTGTTTAAGAAAATTGTATTATGAAATCATTTTTATGAAATCTTTCAAAAAAAGTAATAGCAATACTGTATATAAATTTTCATAAGCATACTTTTACTTTTTTCTTTGCAAATATAAACAAGTTAATATTTATAGCAACACACAAATTAATCTATTATTTGCTTAGAAAAAACATTGAGTTTTGCATTCTTATTACATAGTAATAAACATTTTATAATTGTAATATTACCACTGAAATTTTTGTTTTGTATCATTAAGTTTCATTTTTAGTATTAGATTGGACTGTCATAAATATGTAGTTTTTTTAGTGGTAGTTAGTAACGTATTATATATATTATTGTAAAATTCGTTGACGGAATGCATAAAATCACAATAGACAAAACACAATGCAAGATCAAAATTTGTATGTGCGAAAAATCGCTTTAAAACACTCATACAGTATCTTAATTACATATATGTGTTCTTCATATATAGCAGTCTTTAGTTTTTTAGTCTTGACATAAATTTAAATAAATTATTAATAAAAATAAATTGTTAATAATTTTATCTAGAGAAATATTATGATTATCTTTTTAAATCGCATTTAAATTTAATAACTGCAAATATATTTTATAAAAAAAGATTAATAGTAAGTATATTTACAAGAATAATAGATATAAATCAAGTAAAAAAATTTTTTCAATTTACAAATTTGACTTGATGCATTTATGCAATCATTCTTGTGAACATAATAGTAGCCAATGTGTGTTAGTTTAACACATTTTTAATATATATTAATTCATTTAATAAGGCTACATAACAAACATAACAAAGGCAGTTATATATAACATCTAGTATAATTTACCACTTACCTTTATCTCTTTCCATAAATATCACTTATTTCATAATTATATAAATAATTGAATTTCCTTTAGAGACAAATTATCAACAAGTTTAAACGTGAATACGCAATGGTACACTATCCGACTTATTTTCTGCTTCTAGATTGTATTTTATAGTATCAAGAGTATTATAAATTGTTCTGAAAGTAGGTCTATCTGATGGTTTCCTGTTCCAACAAAGTTTCATCAGATCATATATCGCCGGCGGAGTATTTTCGGGACATTGGAGTACATTGCCTTCCTTTATATATTTTACAACTTCTTCGTGCGTCATTCCATAATAAGGCTGGAGCGCAAAACTAAATATTTCCCACAAGCATACCGCGAACGCCCATACATCAGATTCGACGGTATACTTATTATACAATATACTTTCTAAAGGCATCCATCTAACTGGAATAGCATCTTGTTCATCGCCTTTATAGTAATCTTGTAAATAGATTTTTTGCGACAAACCGAAATCTGCTATTTTTACAATCATTTGATCATTGATCAAACAATTTCTCGTTGCGAGATCTCGATGAACGAATTTTCGATCTGACAAATATACCATTCCAGATGCTACTTGAAGCGCAATATTAATCAAATCCATATGCGATAAACGAGAATCTGTGAAATGTTCATCTTTTTCTAGACTTCGAATAATATAATTTCCCGGTGAACAAGATCGGAGAAATTCATTCAAATCACCACGACCCATATATTCAAAAAGAAGACACATTGGTCGACCTAAAGCGCATACACCTAATAATTTGACGATATTTGGATGATCGAATTCGGCAAGAAGACATGCTTCTCGTTCGAAATCTTTGAGCAGATCATCTGATGCTTCTTCTTTTAACATTTTTACAGCAACATTGGTAAATTCTTCACCTGGAACAAGACCAGGTGCTTTTGCTTGAAATACTCTACCAAAAGCACCCTGTCCCAAATCTCGAACATAAATAATATTATTTCTTGGAAATTCAAGTTTTTCCAATTTTGGATTAAGTTGTGCACTTGTTTTATGGTATGCATCATTACTTGGTAGTTTGTCCAAATCAATACTGACATACTGAAAATTATATAATTGTAACAATATGACACATGCATTATTATTATTATTATTATTATTATTTTATTTGTGATAATAAAATAATATATAAAGACCAGACTCAGCAATATTTTTCTGGACATTGCACTTTTAAAATTATATGATTTCAAAATAATATAATCAATAGAAATTTATTACTTTTGATATACCTGATTATCTGTAGGATT